GTGTCTGTGTGGGTTTCCTCCGGGTGCTCCAGTTTCCTCCCACAGTCCAAAGATGTGCAGGCTAGGTGGATTGGCCATGCTAAATTGCCCACAGTGTTCAGGGATGTGTATAGTTTAGATGGGTTATAGGGGGATTGGTCTGGGTGGGATCCTCTGAGGGTCAGTGTGGACTTCTTGGGCCAAAGGGCCTGTTGCCACACTGTAGGGATTCTATTAAATTAACTCACGTACTTGTATATTCTTCAAGGGAAAAACACAAAATGTGTCTGCTATTTAGGACATAATCTGTAGGTGGGCGGATTACTGTTGAGCAGGCATTTGTTAGCCCCTCGCTATCTCTGTAGTTACAAGAGATCACAGCCCAATGTGTTTTGACTTGCCTCCACCCAATTTTGAAGAGCCGTTATTTGGTGTTCCCTTTAGATCCATATGTGTGACATTTGATGAGTTTATCTTTCTTGAGCCAACTATTTAATTTATATCCATAGCCATTTTTGGCTGTATCAGCCATCTTTTTGAAAAAAAAATACATTTTGGAACTACAAGTTACAAATATCCATAATACTTCAGGATTCTGATCTGTGCTATGACTTAATCCAATTAAGTATGAGGTTTGCATTTTGGGAGATCAAATGTTAAGGAAAAGTATACAGTTAATGGCAGGACCCTGAACAGCATTGGTGTACAGAAGGAGCTTGGGGTCCTAGTCCATAGCTCCCTGAAAGTGGCCACGCATGGAGGTTGGGTGGTAAAGAAGATGTATGGCATGCTTGCCTTTATTGGTCGGGTAATTGAGTACGAGAGACAGGATGTCATGTTGCAGCTTTATAAGACTTTGGTTAGGCCACACTTAGAGTATTGCATTCAGTTCTGGTTGTCACATTATAGGAAGGGTGTGGAGGCTTTGGAAAGGGTGCAGAAGAGGTTTACCAGAATGCTGCCTGGATTAGAGGGTATGAGCTATAACGAGGGGCTATAAAAACTTGGGTTGATTTCTCTTGAGCGGAGGGGAGACTTGATAGAACTCTATAAAATTATGAGATGCATTGATAGGGTTGATGGTCAGAATCTTATTCCCAGAGTTGAAATGTCTAATACTAGGGGACTTGCATTTAAGGTGAGAGGGGGAAAGTTCAAAGGAGACATGAGGGGCAAGTTTTTAACACAGAGAGCAGTAGGAGGCTGGAATGCACTGCCAGGGTTGGTGGTGAAGGCAGATATGATAAGGGCATTTAGGGGACTTTTAGATAAGCACATGAATATGCAAGGAATGGAGGGATCTGGACCAAGGGCCAGCAGAAGGGATTAGTTTAATCTGGCATCACGCTCAGCATAACGTCGTGGACTGAAGGGCCTGTTCCTGTTCTGTACTGTTCTATGTTCTATATCCTTGTAGAGCTGGATGCACACACTTCCCCAGTATGGATCACTGACCAGAAACCTAAAGGCCCAGATTAACCTCTATCCAGACCAGGATCACTGAAGACAGCTGAAATCTAGGTTTTGCAGGGGGAGCATCAGTCAGTTCAGATCAAGCCAGAAATTAAAGCAAGCCCCTGGGAATGGATACTTCAAAGCCACATGAAGTAGTATAGTGCACTGTGGAGTGTTATAAATTCAAACCTTCGCTCACATATTTCTCTCTATTTACCAGGGAAAGCTGTCAGATTTGTTTTAATTAGTTGCTTTAATTTTAATTTCTAAATTAGTTTTTAAACACAACGTTTTCTCCTCTCTCCCTCCCACAGGCACAAATATTAAATATTCTCTCACTTGTCAGCAGGTTATAAATATCATTTCCATTTTAACTTGTAAAGCCTGAATGAGAGTCCTGGAGGTTGCCAAGCAACAGACTGTCTCAAACATTAAGACTGGACAGGTCCTGTTTAGACCACAACATGAGTTTCAATTTTAGGTTTTCAGAGATTTCTGTTTTTGGTTGGCAGTGATCTGACCTGGTACAATTCCCTGATTTATTATCCACCTTTAAATTGAGACTCTCTTTTCACTTGGTTCCTGTCTCTTGTCGGCCCTCTCCTGAAGGCTCTGATGGTTTATAATTCCACAGGATGATGGTTCCTTTCTGTTCTCCCTTAACTGCCACCTCAGTCCCATTCCCAGATGAGCAATCCTCTGATGTGAGACCATTGCAGACCAGGAAACAGGATCAAATCCAGAACCAATTTCACCTGACAGTGACACACTTCCACCAGGCGGCACTGGATCATGATCAAAAATAGGAAACCAAAATTAAGACCAGAAGATATTGGAGCAGAATTAGGACATGCAGCCGATCAAATCTGCTCCACCATTCAATCTGACTGATATGTTTCTCAACCCCATTCTTCTGCCTTCTCCCCGTAACCCTTGGTCCCCTTTCCCATCAAGAATCTGTCTATCTCTGTCTTAAATACAGTCAATGACTAGGTCTCCACAGCCCTCTGCAGCAAAGCATTCCACAGAGTCACCACCCTCTGGCTGAAGAAATTTCTCCACATCTCAGTTCTAAACAGTTGTCCCTTCAGTTTGAGGTTGTGCCCTTGGGTCCTAGTTTCTCCTACCAGTGGAAACATTTTTCCCACATCCACTCTATCCAGACATCTCAGTCTTTTGTAAGTTTCTATCAGTTCCCCCCTCATCCTTTTAACCATCGGTTACAGATGCAGAGTCCTCAACCCGCTCCTCAAATGACAAGCCTTTCAACACTGGGACCATTCAGATAAACCTCCTCTGGACCTCCTCAAGGCACATCCTTCTGTCAATACATGAGGCCCAAAACTGCTCAGAGCCAGAGCCTTAAACAGCCTCAGCAGCATATGCCTACTCTTGTATTCTAACTGTCTCAAAAGGAATGCTAACATTGCATTTGCCTTCCTAACTCCCAATTGAATCTGCATGTTAACCTTAAGAGAATCCTGATCTAGGACTCCCAAATCTCTTTCTGCTTCAGATTTCCAAAGCCTTTCCCCATTTAGAAAATAGTCTATGCCTCTATTCTTCCCACCAAAGTACATCATCTCACTTTTCCACATTGTATTCTATCTGCCACTTCTTTGCCCACTCTACTAGCCTGTCCAAGCCTTTCTGCAGCCCCCCTGCCTCCTCAACACTACCTGTCCCTTTATCTATCTTTACGTCATCTGCGAATTTAGCAACAATGTCCTTTGTTCCTTCTAATTTTCTATGTATGCTGGGACCTTGCCGCGAACATCATGGGTAGTTATCTTATTTGGCAGTCTCTTCAGCGATGCCTTGTCAATGGCCTTCTGAAAATCCAAATGGATCACATTCACTCACTCACCTTTGTTGCTCGTTACCTCCTCAAAGAATTCTAAACAAATTTGTCAGGCATGACCTTCCCTTAATACATTTCCAAGTGCCCAATAATCTCATCTTTAATAATGGACTTTAAAATCTTAACAATGAATAAGGTCAGGTTAACTGGCATACAGTTTCCTTCTTCTGCCTCCCTTCTTAAACAGAGGTGTTACATTAGTCATTTTCCAGTCTTTTGGACCCTCCCTGACTCCAGTTATTGCTGGAAGATCTCCACGAATACCTCCACAATCTCTTCCGCTATTTACTTCAGAACCCCGGGCTATTGTCTATCCAGTCCAGGTGATATATCCACCTTCAGATCCTTCAGCTTCCCCAGCACCTTCTGTTTGGTGAGGGCCACTATAATCACCTCTGTCCCCGACTCTCTTGAAGTTCAGCTATGCTACTGGTGTCTTCCATGAAGAATAGTGCAAAGTACCTATTAAGTTCCTCTACCATTTCCTTACTCCCCATTACAACTTCCCCAGCCTCGCTTTCCAGTGATCCAATGTCTATCCTTGCTGCTCTCTTACAGTTTATATAGCTAAAAGAAAACTCTTGCAATCTTCTTTTATATAACTAGGTAGGCTTAACATCGTATTTCATTTTTTTAGTCAGTCACTTAAGTAAACTTCAAGTATGATGCAGATAGAGAGTGGGAATGGGACTGACTATTGTTCTATGGAGAGCTGCAGTGAACTCAGTGTACTGTAATTAGTCTGCAACACTAAAAACAAGAGAAGTATTTGGTCCCCCTGTACACCTGCAGGATCCATATACTGGTCACTTTATCTCTCCAAGTTACCTGGGTCAGAAATTGGCCTCTGGAAGTAGACCATCCCAATCTCACTCATAATCCAGAAACATTCCATTTACACACAATCCAGAGCATTTGACAAACACAATACTGGCTAGTTCACAAGCAATTCAGGAAGATAGGTTCAGAAAGATGAATGCTGCATTTAGATAGTACCTTCTCAGTGTTATCCAAAATACTTCAAGTATAAGCATAGAGGCTGCAAAGCAAAATTCTACAATAGCAATGAAATCAATGACTAAGTCATCTACTTACAGCTCTGTTGGGCTGAACGGGTAACTTCCCTATTCTCAAACAGAGACCACACCCGGCTGAATAGGAAAGCTTTAATTCGAACGCTTAAACGAAAAGGCACGTCTGACAATGTAGTCCTTTCTCCGCATTGCACTGTCAAGCTAAATTAGCAACTCAAAACTTTGGATTGGGACTTGAACCCATAACTTCTTTGTGGGCAGACCTGATCAGGGTGAGGGGAAAAGGAAGGTTATTGAAGGTAAGGACAATGAAGTAGGTTTACAGCAGGACACAGGTCACCCAATCCCACCATATCCCTCTAACCCCCACCCCTTTCTCGCCTGCAGCTGAGATAACCCCCACCCTGGCCTGTTGGGTCACGTGTGAAGTACTGCGAGTTGCATAGAGTTACAAGGGAAGGATACAGAGGGGGAGCCAGCAAGGAAAATCTAAGAGGGAATGAAGGGGAAATAAAAAGTAGGGAGGGAAGGGAGAAGTAGGCAGGGTGGAGTGAATGGTGAAGAGAGTAGGGAGAGAGAGGAGGGGAAGGGGGAGGAGAGATGGAAGGGGGAGGGAAGGCGATAGTTCTAGTGAAAGTGGGAGGAGGGCTGTCACATTGAGAGCGAGGACAGCAACTTGCAGAGTTGGTTGGTGCCGAGTCTTGGAGCTCCCTGCCCCTGACAGAGTTAAACTGAAAGTGAATCTGAGCTTGTCTGCTGCTGCTGACATCCTCCTGGTCCCTCCCACTCGGTGATCACCTGTAGTTGAGAGAGAGAGAGAGGGGCTCAGGCAGTGAAGGTGCAGTGTAGCCTGCCTGCGCTGGACAGTGGACAGTGGACAGTGGACAATGGCACTGCCTCTGGCCGGAGCCCACTGTCCCAGCTCCCGCTGACCGATTGAGCTGTTCAGTTCCCGGGAGCTCTCCCTCCTTTCTGCCGCCCTGATACAGCTTTCGTCTCGTGTTTCTCCTTCCCTCTCTCTCTGTCTCCAGACCTGCCATGCCTCGCAAAAAGAGTTCCCATGTGAGACAGGCGAGCAGAGAGCTGCCAAACGGAGCCCCGAAACCCCCCCTTCGCCGATCCAGATCCTACAGTGAGGTTCACGACCTGACCTATAAGGTGTGTAACTCTTTATTCACTCCTAGATCTCACTTACAAATATAGAACAGCAAAAGATCCAGCAAACTGGGCGCTTTGGAGCTGCAAATGTTCAGCAAACAATGATTCAGCTCTTCAGTCAATGATGTGACTGTCATATCAGCAAAGCAGGGAAAGCAGCGCCAGGGAGACAGGGGGCTGGGGAGCTTGGCAAGGAATATGTAGCTCCTGATGCCGAGCGAGCAGACCAGGTGTCTGCACATCTGTTGCCTTGGGATCTTTTAATCCAACTGGGAGTTTCAAAAAAAATCATTTCTGGAACAGTTTTTTTTATTCCCACTAAGTTTTCTTTTCAAACTTGTAATCTTGCCAGCAGCCTGCCTTGGTGCATTGGTAGTACTGCCTCCATGTAAAATATAGCTAATCAATTAGTCCCACCGCGATCTTTACCTGTCACTCTGTAACTTCAGGTGCAGATTTTGGCTTGTGTGTGTGAGATCTCTTTGTTAGGGATCGGTTTTCATTTATATACAAATCCTTGATCACTTCTCCCATTCTGGCTGTTCCTAGGTTTTGATTCCCAATCATTGTTGAGTTGAGCACTGTCAACTGGCCGGGGGGGGGGGGGGGGTTGAGGGGTGCGGCGAGGTGACAGAGGGAGCAGGGTGGGTGAAATGTGCCTTTTGGTGAGGGAGGACGTGTCAGTCAGACCAGGATTTTTTAATTTCAAAAATATACTTGATTCATTAAAAAAAACTTTGTATACATATGTAGTCACTAAAGTAGTTCAGTTTTGTACCATCTTAGCATGTAGAGAACAAACAGACATTGGGGTGTGACTGTACCAACAGTTCCAACAAACCCAAAGGCATTTCTTACAAACACAAGTTGGAGAGGCCAAGAAGTGGTGGTCCCCTGTTTGAATGAGATGAGATCTGACTACTTCAGGGGAGCTGGCAGTGGGACAGTCACAGTGAGGCCTAGCTCCTTAAGCAGAGGAATCCTAAAATCAGCAGGAGGCCATTCATCCCATCATACCTGAGTTACCTCTTTGAAAGAATGATCTAATTTATCCAAATTTCCTCTTTCACCATCTATTTCCATTTCTTTTTCCAAACCCCATTTAAAAATCTCTGTTTGAATTTGCTGCCTCTATCCTTTCAAACAGTGTGTCCCAGATCACAATAGCTCACTGAACACACTTACTGTCATCTCACTCTTCCTTTTTTTGCCAAATATCTTACATCTGTATTCTCCAATTCCAACCACCCTGCTAGTCGACAAAGCTATAAAGGCAACATAAAAGGCATCAAACAAACTGTCGTGTTGTTTCTGAGCTGGGGAATGGTCTCCTCTTTGATTGTATTTACTATGGAGAAGAATATGTGTGCTTTCACATGCTGTCAGTTCAACAAAGAAACTAATGGCACAGGTTAGATACTGAGTAAAGCTTCCTCTACTCTTTTAAACCGAAATTAAACGTTGCTCTACACTGTTCCCATCAAACACTCCCAGGACAGGGACAGCGCAGGGGTTAGATTCAGAGTTAAGCTGCTTTGTTCTCTAAAACTAGAGCACAACCGTCTAGGAACAAAACAGGGAAGGCCTTCTCTAAGCAAATATTTGTAGAAATATCGCTCCCCAGTGGCTGCAGTTGCTGAAGGGTCAATTGAAAATATGAAGACAGAGATGAATAGACATTTGCTGGGGTTAAGGTACAGCTCGGGCATGATCTGATGGTATGATAGAGTAGGATTGATGTGTATTGCATCAGCTGGATAAAATCCGAGTGTATCGTATTTTAATATTGGAATGGGAATGTGCCAGCCAAAGATCAGAGCTAGACACTTTGCAGCATGGGTCCCAGAGAAACCAGAGAACTAACCTGGTCTAAAGATGGTGGCTGGAGCTAGACAAGAGGCTGACCAGCTAGTGGTAGGAGTACCCATGATTGGCACTGAGCAGTAGTGGGCCTGCTCCAGGCCATGGAGTCAAATGGTTGTTGAAGAACAAAGAACGAGTATCAAGGACTTTGGATTCACCCATTGGTATTACTGAGTCATGGAGGCCCCACTCTTCACTAGATTCAGAACAAACAACTCAAAACTGGACATCCATGAGGCACTGTGAGGCCACCCTACCATAGTCATTAACCCAGGTGTCCATCCCTGGTTTAATGAAGACTGAAGGAGGACATGCCAGTAGCAATGCCAAGTATTGCTAAAAATGAGGTGCCAACCTGGTGAAGCTACAAGACAGGACAACAGAATAACAGAAGCACCATGCTTTAGACTGAGCTAAATGATTGCACAATCAACAAATTAGGTCCTGCTACATCTAGCCACAAATAGCGACATGCAAGTAAACAAGTAACAAGATGAGGAGACTCCACAAATATCCTTATGGTCAATGACAGGGGAGCCCAGCCAGTCAGTGCAACAGACAAAGCTGAAACATTTGCACCAATCTTCAACCAGAATTAGCTCCTGGATTATTTGTTCCTGCCTTTTCCTGTGGATCTCAGCATCACAGATGCCAGTCTTCAGCCAATTCGAGAAATGACTGAAGGCATTGGGTACTGCAAAGGTTATGGGCCCTGATAACATTCTGGCAGTAGGACTGAAGATTTGCACTCCAGAACTAGATAACTCCGTGGTCAAGCTGTTCCAATACCATTACAACATTGGCATCTACCCAACACAGTGGAAGGTTCCTAGAGGTTGTCCTGTCTACAAAGAAGTGAAAGATAAAAGTATGACCTGCCACAAACAATAGGACAAATCCAATCTGATCATTACCATCCTATCACTCTAAACTTAACTCAGCAGAGTGTTGTCAGCAATGCTAGAAAGCAGCACTCACTCAGATACAACCAATTCACAGTTTACAGATACTCAGTTTGAGCTTTACCATTCTGAATAACTCCAGATTATTATAACCTTGATCTGAATATGAACAAAGGAACTGAACTCCAGAGTGAAGTGAGAGTGACTGCTAATAACATCAAGGCCACATTTGACTGAGTGTGGCATCAAGGAGCCCTAGCAAAACTGGCATCAGTGGGAATCAAGGGAAAGCTGTCTGCTGTTTAGAGTCTCACTTAGCATAAAGGAAGGTAGTTGTCGCTGTTGGAGGTCAGTTATCTCAGCTCCAGGACATCACTGCAGGAGTTCCTCAGAGGAGTAACCTAGACCCAACCATCTTCAGCTGCTTCATCAATGACCTTCCCTGCATCATCAGGTCAGTAGTGAGGATGTTCACCAATGATTGCACAATGTTTAGCATCATTCCTGATTCCTCAGATACTGAAATAGTCCATGTCCAAATGCAGCAATATTCAGGTTTGGGCTGACGAGTGGCAAGTAACATCCACTTCATGCAAGTGCAATGACCATTTTCAACAAGGGAAAATCAAATCATCATTCCTTGATATTCAATGGCATACCATTGCTGAATTCCCCCATTATCAACATCCCGGGAGTTATCATTGTCTAGAAACTGAACTTGCCCAGCCATATAAATACTTTGGTTACAAGACCAGATGAAAGGTTGGGAATCCTGTAGTGAGTGATCCACTTTCTGACACACCCAAGACTGTCCACATCTGCGAGGCAGTACTCAGGATTGTGATGAAAAACTCTCCATTTGTCTGAATGAGTGCAGCTCCAACAATACTCAAGAAGCATGGCACCATCTGAACAATCATCCCACTTGATTAGCAACCTATTGACCACCTACAACAGACAATTCCCTTCACTATCAGTGGTAGCAGTGGGTACCTTCCACAAGATGCACTGCAATAACTTACCAGGTGGACAGCACCTTCCAAATCCCTCCACTTCCATCTGGAAGGACAAGGGCAAGGGATATATTGGAACACCACCAGCTGCAAGCTCATCTCCAAGCCACTCATCATCTTGATTTAGAATATATTTTTTCGTCATGACTAGGACAAAATCCTGGAATTTTCTCCCCAATAACAGTCTGGGTCTATCACATCACCCAGTCCACATTGGCTCAAGAAATAGTCCAACCAGAAAAAAGGAGGGGGCATTGCTGGGTACTGAGGTGGAACAAGTGCCTGTCAGGGAACACTTGGTAAAGGAGATCTTCCCATCACAAAGAATAGGTCAGTAATGGAAAAGAACAAGGAACAATCGAAATTGGAAGAGGGCTAATTTCAGTGGTATGAGAATGGATCAAGCCAATGTAAGACAGATTGAAATACTGATGGGACAAACTGAACAGAGCAATGGGTGACTCAGTTAGAGACTAGTTACATTCTAACAAGTGAAAAGGGCAAGGGAACTCAAGCTAAGGCTTCTAGCTGACAAGAAAGATAGAGAAGTGAATGAAAGCGTACTAGATAGAGTATGATGTACATCTGATAAATTATTCAAACGCAAATCAGGTCAAATACAGCAAGTTGAAGGGGAAATGAAGAGGAAAACAAAGTCTTGCAAAAAGAGAGCATGAGAATAGAATGACAGTCAATACAGAGTGACCCCAAAAACCTTCTTCTGGCTTGTAAATAGTAAACAGGATATAAGAAAGTAAGAGGTGGCATAAAGCCAAAGAGACAAAGAAGGTGCTCAGAGGTGTGGGACCAAATTAGAATACTTAGTGACTACTTTGTGTCCATGTTTACTAAAGAAATGGATGCTGTTAAAACAAAAACAGGAATTTCTGGAGAAACATGGCAGGTCTGGCAGCATCTATGGAGAGAAAATGGAATTAACATTCCGAATCCAGCAACCCATTTACAGAACACCTTTTTTCCAACTTCTGCAATTGATTTATTTGCTGACAACATATTGGTCAAAGCAGAGTTGGTGGAGATAATAAACAGGGTGAGAATTGATTGGCATAATATATTGGAAAGGCTAGCCATGCTTAGTGAGATGTGTTTCCTGATTTTGATTGCTTGTGTTGTAGTTTGCTGTGGGTGGTGACAATGGAAGGGCTGTTCATAACCTCGTGCAAGTAAAGATGCAAGGACATGCCTGGCAATTACAGGCTGT